GGGACAATGCCCTATTTACGTTGAGATTTATATTATTTATATTTATTATTTTTGAGATAAAGTCTCATCCATCCCGGGCTTGTTCAGTACATACTGGAGAATGACCTTGAACTTCTAATTCATCTGTCTTTACCTCCATGCATGTCTCTACCGGCATGCATACCATATTGAGGTTTGTGTAGCTTTGTGAATTGAACCGAGGGTTTCAGGCAAGCAAGCTGTCAAATGACCTACATCGTCATCCCATAACGAGTTTTTAAGAATACTTTTTTTCTTTTGAAGTTATCCTAAGTTTATGGAAAAGTTGCAAAGACTTACAGAGAATTGCTGCAAACCCTTCATCTAGCTGTTACTGAAGAAAACACAAGAACATATATATCTACATCCATGTCTCTATCTATCTATCTATCTATCTATCTATCTATCTATCTATCTATCTATCTATCTATCTATCCTTTTATATATATATATATATATATGTATCTATCTATCTATCTATCTATTTACCCTTTTATATATATATATGTATGGATGTGTGTGTGTGTATGTGTGTGTGTGTGTGTGTGTGTGTGTGTGTGTGTGTGTGTGTGTACATCCTGACTGGTTTCCCCTCCCTCCTCACAGTCCCTCTCCTCCACTTCCCCTCTCTCCCCACCTATCCACTCCTCCATGGATATCAACCAATCATGGCATACCAAGTTGCAGTAAGACTAGGCACCTCCCCTCATATTGAGCCTGGACTAGGCAACCAAGTAGGGGGAGAAAGTCTCTAAAGCAGGCAAAAGAGTCAGAGACAGCCCCTGCTCCCACTGTTAAGAGTTCTATAAAAAGACCAATCTACACAACTGTAACATATATGCAGAGGGCCTAGGTCAGTCTTACTCAGACTCCCTGGTTATCAGTTCAGTCTCTGTGAGCCCCCCCCCCCCCCCCCCATGAGCCCATGTTGGTTGATTCTGTGGATTTTTGGATGAATTCCTTGACCCCTTTGGCTCTTACAATCTTTACTTCCCTCCTTCTGAAGGATTCCCAGAGATCCACCTAATGTTTGTCTGTGGGTCTCAGCATCTGTTTGTATCAGTTGCTGGATGAAGCCTCTCTGAGAACAATTGGGCTAGGCACCAATCTATGAGTATAGCAGAATATCATTAGAAATTATTTTCTATCCTAGGTCTCTGGGCTATCCAGTTCCTGGTTTCTGGCCCTCCAGCCAGTGTCAGAGGCCTATTTTTTTTTAAATTGTGGTCCAAATCTATAAAATGACACTCTCTGATGATAAGATCCATTCATAAGTAGTTTTTTAAGCTTTTCCCTAACGCATTCAAAATGGAGGCAAGTTTGGGAACTTCTGCTCTGAATCCTTCCCAAGAGGGAATAGGCCAATCATAATGTAGCTGGGTGGCCTGCTAGGGATGCAACCACCTAAGATTCTATGACAAGCTTTACTTTATGTTTAGTATATTTATATGATAACAAAATAGTGTTGCAGAGACCTCCAGCTCCATGCTTTAAAAGCTGGCTGTTGTTAGCTAAAAGCTGGAAGACAATTGCTAACAGTCTTGAACTAATTACAGAAACAAAGCCACTACTCTAAGAAGCAGAGACCTGAGAAGGCTACTCTCTTCCTCTCATCTTGCTGACTGCATTTTAATTATTTTAGATTTGATTAGCACCTGTATCAGAGAATTGGGAGAAATAAAGAGCAACTCATGTCAAAAGCTCAGCAGGGAAAACCATTGAATCAAAGGTTTTAGTATGCGTGTGGGATGATTGTCATGCTTCGATGTTTAGTTTTGTCCTGCTCATGCAGATAACAAAGTTGAGTGCACAAAAATCAACGACTGTGGAATGCCTATTGGAAAGGGATCCATTTTCAATCCTTACCAAATGTATGCCCCAGATAAATTATTTGCTTTTGTTGAGTTGTTAATATTTCCATTTAGAATTATAAAATGACTGTTCACAGTTTCTCAGTTATTTCAAACTCAGTTTTCAGTTAGCAGAAAAAGTATGCTTAAATAGCTTTGAGTATGTAAGTAAACACTGTGGGTTTTTTTTTTTTTTAAGAAGCTCACAGGAGTTTTTAGCCTTCACATCACTCAATCATTATAATTCAGTCTACGGGATTAATGTTTTATCCTTAGATTTTTATCATAGGATTTTTAAAAGAAGCTGAAATTGAATTGAAACCTATAAGAAGTATGAAGCCATATGTCAGCCTTACCTAGCAAAGGTAGTAGATGAAATTTTACCTCCACAGATAAAAATTCTTTCGTGAAAGTAAAATTTAATATTTTAATAAATTTAGTATTTTAATTTAAAATTTTAGAGGGGGTTCATACATGAGTACTTGTACATATATTATTTTCACACGTCTCCTTTCCCCCATCCAATCCCTCCTGTGTCTCTCCCTTACTCCTCAAATTCATGACCTCTTCTTATTGTTATACACACAAGCATGCACAAGCATGCGCGCGTGCGCATACGCGCACACACACACAGAAACAGAGAGAGAGAATACCGAGTTTAATAATATTTTTGGAAGTATCTGTTAGGCCTCCTCATTAGCTTATTGAAGCAACATGGTCAAAGCATCTTATCTTGAAGATTGAATCAGATATGAGATGGCTTTGCAATAAAACTAGAAAGAGGAGTTGAATGGTCAGGCAAAGAGAGGCCATTGACAAGTTAGGATCATCACTTTTAAAGGTTGTCAGGGAAATGAGCAAGTATTCAGTTTTGTCAACAGGGTTCTCAGCTAAAGAAGGTGTGTCGTGGAACTCAAATTCATCACCAAGTTCACAAACCCCATCTGTGTTCTTTAAGCTTCCTTCTCTTCCTTGCCAAAAATGTCCTTGTTTCAAACTCCCAAGATATATGAGAAACCATCAAAACAATCTCACTGAGCTCCTGAGGCAACCTTGCTCCCTCAGACCCATGTGGCTCCCTATAGCTCCCCTGTTTCAGAAGGTAGTTTTTCTGTTGTTTTTTTCATCTCTTCATACTGGGTCCAATTAACACTCACGTTGTATATCAGGCCTTAGACTCTGATTTTATCTCCCCTGTACATGCTTTCCATTTCTTCTCTGTTGGCTCTTTCCTTCAGATAACAAACATATTTAAAACTTTCCTACCTCAGGCAAAAATGTGCATGTGTATCCTTCCCACCTGGACTTCTCCGTAAGGTGAATTTAGCCAGTTATGGGACACAAGTCTGAGATGTCAGAACTCTGGAAGCTGAATAAGGAGGATCACGACTTCCAGACCAAACTTGGCTATACAATGAGAACTTGCCTAAAACACAATAACAACAATAAAATACATGACCTTGAAGATACATATCTTGAGACTTTTTTTGGTTCATAGACTATCAATGTTAATAAAGCAATGATAAAAACAAAAAAAAAACAAACAAAAAAGAGCAAAGCAATCTAAGTTGATAAAATATGAAACCATGAAATCAAAGCTGATATATGTGAGTCTGGGAAAGAGAGACCATCGAGAACTCAGCTCCATACTTGGGGTGATAGTACAGTTGGCAAAGTCCCTACCTAGAATGCATGAGGCCCAAAGACTGATCCCCAATGCTTGAGGAGAAAAATCCAGAAGGAAATAGGCTCCATTTGTTTTGATTATGTGTGTGTGTGTGTGTATATATATATGGTTTTGTTGCATAGTATATAATTGTATGTATACCTCATTGTTTCATATAACCAAGCCCCTACTTTTTTTTTATGAAAATAACTCACTTTTACTATAATTTATTCAGAAGATACTGTACTAAGCAACTTTATAGCTACCATCTCATTTAATTTTCCTAACAGTATTAAAAAAAAAATTCAAAATCTTTCTCCATCAAGAAAATGAACATTAAGATTGGTTTGAGATTACGTTTCCCCAAACCTAGATGACTGTCATCAAGAACACAAATGACATGAAATCCAAGCCCCTACTTTTGAACAAAAAAGTTACATGTTAAAAGTCTTTTCTTGGCCTGGAAAGATGGCTTAGCCATTAAGAGCACTGTTTGCTCTTCCAAAGGTCCTGAGTTCAATTTCCGGCAACCACATGATGGCTCACAACCATCTATAACGTGAACTAATGCTCTATTCTGGCATACAGGTGTAAATGCAGATAGAGCACTCGTACATAAAATAAGTAAAACAAAACAAAACAAAATCTATTCTTGAGGTGGTGGTAGCTCTTGCCTTTGATCCCAGCACTTGGGAGGCAGAGGCAGGTGTATCTCTGAGTTTGAGGCCAGCCTGGTCTCCAGAATGAGTTCCAGGACAGCGAGAGCTAAAGCATAGAAACCTTGTCTCAAAAACAAAAATAAAAAATAAAAAAAAATAATAATAATAAATAAGTCTTTTCCTGACTTGGGCTTCCCTCCCCACATCCCCGAATCTAGTCTAGTTGCACTGTACTAGCCAATACAGGTGCAACTGTAGAGTAATGGAAAGACCAGCTTAAACTAGGAAATGGGTGTCTGTTGTCACAAAATTAGAATGAAAGAAGAATCTCTACTGCTTTTCTGTGACTACAGTAGCAAAGTACCATAAATCTGGTAGCTCCGAGCAACAGCAAAATCCCAAAATCAAAGTGTCAAAGTCTTTAGCATGAAGCATTGCCTCAGTGGCTTTTGGTGGCTCCAGGCAATCCCTGCTCTGTGGCCTAATCACTTCATGGTAACCTTCATCTTCATATGGCCTTGCTGTGTCTATGTCTTCTCCTGCGTTCTAAGGACCTTAGTCATTGTATTTTGGGTTCATGTGACTAATACCACAAAGACTTTACCTCCATTATATAAGACAACATCCACAAGCTCTGGAAGTAAGGAAGAAGACCCAGCATTTTGAAAACCACCATTAGACGTTGTTTTTCCTAGACACAGGTTCACATTTGAATACTCTTGTCTAGTTTCTTTTCAGATGGTCTGTAGTTTAAACCGTTAGCAACCACGGTTATCAAGACTTGTCTGTAACTCACTCTTCAATTAGGATTTTTCTCTGGAGCGATCATCCCGGTCCATGTTGGAACGATCTGAGCAACAGATCCGAGCTGCTTCAAGTTTGGAGGAGCTGTTGCAAATCGCACACTCTGAGGACTGGAAGCTCAAAAGTCTTGCCAGTACGGACTCGCGCTCAACATCCCATCGCTCCACCAGATTTGCGGCAACTTTCTATGATACTGAAACACTAAAAGGTAGGTGCATGAGTAAAGTGATGGGTTCTTTCCTTATCACATAGGGACACGGGCACCAAGTTCTTCCAAAAGTTTGAGCAGAGTAGTCATGTAACTGAGGGGGAATAAAGGGGCTTTGACTTTCTGACAAGATGGTTCACTGGATAAAGTTGAGCATGGTTCTGGGATAACCACATGTATGACCCCCATAGATAAATAGATGTAATTTAAAAAAAAAAAAAAAAGCAAGCCAGGAATTGCAGGAATCAGTTCTCACCTTCCACCTTGTGAGGCCCAGGAATCAAACACAAATCTTCAGGCTTGGCAGCAAGCACCTTTACCCATTGAACCATCTTGCCAGCTCAAGAATTCTGATTTTTAAATGTCTACTCCACAAAGAAACATATTCAATATGATTTTATATCTACATCTAACACAAGGACATTTCAAATCATCAAAATTAATTTAACTCAGAAATTTGAAGACAAAACAAAAACAGAAAGATTACTTTTAGTGTGAGAAAAACAGGTTTACTTAAAAACAAAAGCTCAAGTATTTATCAACAAAGAGTTTTCAATTGCTATGCACACAGAGCTATAGTTTTTTTTCTTCAAAATCCTGTGTGTTTTTAAATTTATTTAAAATTGAAAGGCAGAAGATAAAAGTAAAGGCAAAATGATGGGTACTGGTTACTCAGAAAACAACAGACATTTTTGACACAAAATAATCAAAGTTTGGGACTAGAAAATAACAGCCTGCTATAGCCTCAGGTTCTGCCTACCTCCATGGGTTTAGCCAATCAAACATATTTGGGGGAAATTCATGTGTACTGAGCACATGCAGACCATTTCTTGACATGCAATGTACTGAAACAACTATTTGTTTGGCCTATGTGCATTTTATTGGTTACCAGAAGTGATCCAGACATGATTTCAAGTGTATAGGAAGATGTAGGTGTGGTATTTACAAATTATAGCTCATGTTATATAAGGGACTTAATAACCCAAGGATTTTGGTATGTGTAAAGTGTCCTAGAATCGATCCAACCCAGACATCAAGGGGCCATTATACTTCCAAGTTGCTCCCTGGGGTAGGGGTGAGGATAGACATGTGGTGTATACTTATGCCACTTTAATGATATCCAGATTGAGATACAGACTCTTTTCAAGACTATTGTTTAGACATACTGTGCCACAATGAATGAAATGGTTTAAAATAAAGTTGCGTGCCTTTACCTCTCTGATGACATACTAAAACAACTCAGGAAACCAGTGCCATTGTTAGATTTAGCCTCGTATTTATTAATACGATCCTATAAGTATATGAGTACATCTATTGCTTAATTTAAATTGATCCTTAAGTGAAAATTATCCTTTTTTTTTAATAGCTAGATTTTTTTTTTCTTCCTGTTTGTTAAAGAATAATGGATTGTGTAGGATTTGCCTGTGGGGGAAGTTGTATATAGGTGAAAGGAACCTCAGTGCAGTGTAAGTATGAAGAAGGTTCTTCAGACTCATACATGGGACTGGGTGTCAAATGAGTTGAGACACTGGGAACAAGGTCAGAACTTTGAGGGTCTAGTTGTTCACTCCTGTGCTGATTTCACATCGCCTTCCTAGGAAACAGGCCCATCTGGAGAGCACAGGCTTAGACCAGATCACCTGTCTGAAGGCCCAAGAGGAATGTACAGATGACCTGTAGAGACAATTTTTCCCATGAAATCATGAGTCAGTGATTTTGAAAAGTCAGCCAGGTTGACATTTTCTAAGCAGGAAACCGTAAAAAATTAGAGAATTTGCAACCTCTACGGTTTCCCTCATAATTATATGGAGGATTATCTGAAGTTATTCACTAAGTTAGAAGCAGTGGATAGCCAAATAAGCGTGTTATACCAATTATGTTTTATTATCCACCCTCTCTCATGGATTTCAGGATAAATTCCCTGGACAGTAGTAAAGAACACTGGCCTTATGAAACCTTAGTCAGTGGCACTGGTCATAACTGCATGAGATTTTTACTGTAATTGTCTCCAACTTTTAAAACTTGGAACTCTAAATAGGAAAAAAGCAAGTAGAAAGTAAAATTTAAATAGCATTTTAAACAAGGGATATTTTCATAAGTTGATTACTCTCCCTTTGAAAGATTTAAGACTAATAGTAGCGATTGAAATAGCAACTCTTTGTGCTACTTAATTAAATAATTTGTCTCTCATGCATACAGCCTGAAGATACATCTTTATCATCAGAATTTTTTAAATATTGATTTATATTATGTATCTATATGGGTGTTTTGCCAGCATGTACACTTGTGTACCACATATGGGCAGTACCCATGGAAGCCAGAAGAGGGTATCAGATCCGCTGGAACTGCAGTTAGAGATATAAGCTGCTGAATGGATGCTGGGAACCAAATGCAGGTCCTCTGGAGGAGCAACCAGTGTTCTTCTGAGGCATCTCTCCAGAGCCCTCTACACATATTTTTAAAGATAGCGTACAGAAACATTTGTTTGTTACTATATCACCCCCATATTTAGCTGCCTCAAGTAGACTGTGTGTGCACGTGAGGGAGCATGTGGCTGTGGAGGCCAGGGACAACCTAGGATTTCATTTGTCAGGTATCATCCCACTTGTAAAACAGATATTCTTAGTTTCATGCTTTTGTGGACCTGAAATACAGGCCTGGCCAAGATGTTTTTTGTTGTTGTTGTTTTGTTTTGTTTTGTTTTTCTGAGTCAAGGTCTCTTTGGAAGCTACAGTCAAGGTCATGCTGTCAAAGTTCAACTGGGCATGTACTTCCAAGTTCATTCAATTGTTGTTTCTAGGATTAAGTTCTACAGAGGTACTTGAATTGTGAAGGGCTCCTTTTCCCACTGGTTTGTTGGCCAGAAGTTGCCTGCAGTTTCAGGTGGCATGGAGATTAAAAGCACATACCACTCTTGAAAGTAACCCAAGTTTGACTTCTAGCACGGTGGGCTCACAATCACTCATAACTCCAGCTCCAGGGGGCTTTTATTACCCTCCTCTGGTGTCTGAGGGCTCTGCACTCATGTGAACCCCACTCCCACATGCATACACATAATTAAAAATTAAGTATTTTTAAAAAGTGGCTCTAGGTGAGAAAGGAACTGTGGAGGAGAGAAGAGAGATTAAGGAGAGGTGGGGGCCAGAGAAAAAGAGAGTTAGAGAATTTTCTGAACCTAAGATGCCACCTAAGAGGTATCTTGTTTTGTTGGATTCTCTTCACAATTACTCAGTCTCATCATCACACTGAAGGAGAGGGAATTGCACAGAGCATGAGCACCAGGGTCTGAAGATCACTAAGGGGTCAGTTTTAAGGCTGACTACTACAAAAGGGTTTCAACACACTTCTAGTACAATAGTCTCTGGTTCTGTGACAACCTCAAAGTAACTCTCTGCCACTTCCCTCCAAGAAAAACAGTAGAGAGGCTACATATAGCATTAAGTGTTAAAATCTAACTTAGACAATGATGCGAGTGGGGTTCGAGAGAGCTCATCAGTTAAGAGCAAATACTGCTCTTGCAGAGGACTTGAGTTGGGTTCCCAGCACCCACATCAGACAGCTCACAACTGCCTTTAATTCTAGTTCCAGGGAATCTAACACCTCCAATATCTGCAGGCACCTGCTTGTCCTATCTTTCTCTTTTTCTCTCTCTTCTCTTTCTCTCCCTCCTCTCTCTCTCTCTCTCTCTCTCTCTCTCTCTCTCTCTCTGTCTGTCTTTCTCTGTCTCTGTCTGTCTTTCTCTCCCTCCGTGTCTTTGTCTCTCTCATACACATACACACAGAGAAAGAGAGAGAAACTTAAAATCAAATGAATATTTTTAAAATTGGGAAAGCCAGTCCTTTCATTTCAGCACTCAGGAGGCAGAGGTAGGCAGATCTCTCTGCCTGATGTGAGGCCAGCAGTCTGTTCTACATGGCAAGTTCAGACCAGCCATGAGACCCCGTCTCAGAATTTTAAAAAATAGTGAGAGAAAAATGAAAGAAAAATATGTGTGTGGTGCCCGTATGTGCACACATGTGCATACAGGTGTATGGGTTCCTGTTTGTGCATTTGGGGGCCAGAGATCAATGTTGAGCATCGTTAGTCACTCCTCAACTTCATTTTTGAGTCTTTATTGGAACTGGAGCTCAATAATTTGGCCAGTCTGGCTGGTCAGTGAGCCCCAGATTCCATCTGTCTCTGTCTCCCCAGCACTGGGATTACAGAGCATCAGCTGTTGGTTCTGGGGATCTTAACTAAGATCTGCATGCTTGTGAAGCCAGCACTTTCCCCATGGAGCCATCTCCCCAGCCCTGTGTTTCTCTTTTCATTGCCAGAAATGTATTTCTCTTTTTCTGGTTTCCCTCAAATTAGCTATGGTCAGGGAGTTGTTCCTTCTGTTAAAATCAAATGGCTTATCTCATCATCTTCTGTAAACTACTGGATGGTTCCAAATGTGGAAAGTCTGATTGAGAAAAAAAAATTAATCCCATTGAAATGTCCACATGAGTGTTTGCCAGGTTTAAATCTCAGTGCACTTACATAAATAGAAAATAGAAATTCATTTCTCCTTGGTTTTAAGACCTATTCCTACCTAGCTTCAAATAGAAGAAAGGCTAGCCAAATGTTGCCTGTAAGTTGCTTGATAAGCAACATTCATACCTTATGTCTTCATATTATTCCACTGACACTCTTATCACCCACCTTTTGCAGATGACCCCAGGGTGGCTATGTGCAAGACATCATAATATTCTCCCGTGATATAAAAGAAAATATTTCATGAAGTGATGGTATCAATGGAAAAGTATAAAGACTGCAGTTTTAAAAGTTTTGTAAACAAATCTTTGGCTAAAGGATAGAGAAAAATATCCATCTAGAGTTTAGAAAGATTTTTCAGTGGTTAAGACACTTGTCACTCTTGCATAGGACCTGGGTTCATTCCCACATGATGGCTCACAACTATCTGTAACTCCTGTTGCAGGAAAACCCAGTGTCCTCTTCTAACCTCCAAAGGCACCAGACATACATGTGGTGCACATACATGCATGTAGGCAGAATATCCATGCACATAAAATAAACACATACACACCTTTCTCAAAGAAATGTTTAGCCTACAAGATGTGCAGGACCAAAAATAGAGCAGAGGTTAAGGGACTGTCCAACCAATGACTGGCTCAACCAGAGACTCACACCATGGGAAGACAGCCAGCCCCTGGCATAATTAACAATACTCTGCTCTGCTTACAGACGGGAACCTAGCATAGCTGTCCTCTGAGTTGCTCCACCCAGCAGCTGATGGAAACAGGTGCAGAGACCCACAACCAATCATTTTTTTGGAGTTCAGGGAACCTTGTGGAAGAGTTGGGTGAAGGATAGAAGGACCCAGAGGGGAAAGGAGCTCCACAAGAAGACCAATAGAGCCAACTAACCAGGGCCTGGGAGGCGGGGCAGTGGGTCTGTAAAGACTGAAGCACCAATCAAGGACCTAGGGTCCCTACATAGATGTAGCTGATGCTCAGCTCAGTCCCCAACTTCCTAGTAAGGGGAACGGGGGCTGACTCTGACATGGACCCTGTTGCCTGCTTTTCTATTACTTTCTCCTGGTGGGGCTACCTCACCAGGTCACAGGGGAAAAGGATGTGCCTTGTCCTGATGGGAGCTGATATGCTGGGGTGATTGAGCAGGCACAGGCTCCCCTTCTCTTAGGAGTAGGGGATGGAGGATAGGGGAAACAGGGAAGGAGGTTGGGATTGAGAGGAGAGGAGGTCAGGGGCTACGGTCAAGATGTAAAATAAATAAACAAAAATTAAAATTAAAAAAGAAATGTTTAAATACCCACCTTGTAAAATAAATAAGTACAAAAGAATGGAGGGGGAGGCATGAAAATGCTTATGCTGCATTTCAGGGCCATTTTGTCTGCTGACCCCAATGAACTTTATTCCTACAGTTATAGATGAGGAATGGCAGAGAACCCAATGCAGCCCTAGAGAAACATGTGTGGAAGTTGCCAGTGAGCTGGGGAAGACAACCAACACATTCTTCAAGCCCCCCTGTGTAAATGTGTTCCGGTGTGGAGGCTGCTGCAATGAAGAGGGTGTGATATGTATGAACATAAGCACCTCCTACATCTCCAAACAGGTAGAAGATGCTGCAGCTGACCTTGTTGTCAAGCACTAAATACTTTATGTGTCAAATCTCATTAATTCCCCAAATTCACAGGATATCTTGTTCTCCTTTACGAACAAAGAAATAGAGGAGCAAGGAGGTAACAAAATCCAGCGTGACACAGCCTCATTGGTTACCATCTACCTAATGCTGTAATATCAAGAATTAGTGTATATGGGCATTACTAGTATAGGGGGTTAAAAGGAATGAAGGAAGCTGTGTTGTCTTATGCAGCTGTTTGGGTATGTTTAGTTTAATTGGAATGACTGATAAAAGTTTAATGAAGGGTGTAAATGAAGTTGGAGGAAAAGAGATGGAAGAATGCAACAAGGACCAGATAAGAGGGGGAGCCGCTCTCACTCTAAACTAAAGAGGGTGAAGGAGGGAGCAGACATAGGAACAGAGGGAACATGGTAGAGGGTTTCTCACTTGGCAGGGAATGTAAGCAGGTTCTGGGAGAAGCAAAAGAGCCAGTTGTGTAGGCCAGTGATTGCAGGTACAGAGCCTGATAGGAAAGAGAGGAAAGAAGATGGGATCTCTGGAGCAGAGTGGGGAACTAACGGAGAATATACAGCACAAGACTTTTGAAAGAACCCTGCAGTCCCCATGAGAGAAATAAAATGAATAAATAAAATCACCCACTTTTTCTTCTAGCCAGTTTAGTGTGTCTGATTTTATATTGAGGTCTTTGATCCACTTGGAATTTAGTTTTGTGCAGGGTGATAAACATGGGTCTATTTGCATTTTTCAACATGTAGACATACAGCTAGACCAGTACCATTTGTTGAAGATGCTATCGTTTTTTCCATTGTATGGTTTTGGCATCTTTGTCAAAAATCAAGTGACCATAACTGTGTTGGTTTATTTCTGGCTTTTCTATTGGATTCCATTGATCCACCAGTCGGTTTCTATGCCAGTACCATATAGTTTTTAGTATTATTACTGTATAGTACAGCTTGAGATCAGGGATGGAGATAGCCAGAAGCTGGAAACAACCCAGATGCCCCTCAACTGAGGAATAGATTCAGAAATTGTGGTACATCTACACAATGGACTATTACTGGAAAAATAAAACAAACAAGGAAATCATGAAATTTGTAGGCAAATGATGGGAACTGGGAAAGACCATCCTAAGTGAGGTATCCCAGAAGCAAAAAGACACACAGGGTATACACTCACTCATAAGTGGATATTAGATATATAATATAGGATAAACATACTAAAATCTGTACATCTAAAGAAACTAATTAAGAAGAAGGATTCCGGCTAAGTTGCTTAATCCCCATTCAGAAAGGCAAAGAGGATGGACATCAGAAGAGGGAGAAAACAGGGAACAGGACAGGAGCCTACCACAGAGGGCTTCTGAAAGGCTCTACCCTGCAGGGTATCAGAGCAGATGCTGAGACTTATAGCCAAACTTTGGGAGGGGTGCAGGGAATCTTATGAAAGAAGGGGGAGATAGTAAGACCTGGAGAGGACAGGAGCTCCACAAGGAGAGCAACA